TCAGGATCATCCTTATATAGCTTCCTTCTCGAATCTTCTCGAACTGTCATCTAGAATATTCTTAACGGGTAATGACATTTCCATGCAATTCTGGACCTCTCTTCTTTTACTTGTACTTTTACTTATGACGACCGCAGCACACTGTAGGGCGATGAGTAACATTCCACTTATTTTTCTATCTGTATGTTTCCTTTAATAGCCGCAGGCTATTGCAGGGTGCTGCGTAACAATATGTTAAGTCCAGGACGTTAAATAAGACGTTAAATAAGAAAGATACAAAGTTCATTTCGCTATAAAAAAATTTTAAAAATTCATAGTTCTTTTTGATTTTAGGATCAATAAAGCAAGTTTCTTTATGTTAAAAAAAATACGGGGGGGTTAAAAGGTACCCAACCCCCCAATTTTTATTAAAGGGGCCACTTTAATTTTTTTTTCTCCTTAGAATATTGGGCCTTCAAATCTACAGCACTGGCAAACATTTCGATGAAAAACTCGCACCAGCAAACTTTTTACAAAAAAAAAAAACGTTTTTCTGAATGTTAGTTTAACACCCTGTAACTTTGTTGGGAGCCAGTTTTTGATATATGTATATATAGACAAATCCTCTTATTTTTTGGTAATCTATCTGAGGATGAATTTATGACATACCTTTTTGAAACACCTTGTATATTATAAAAATGTATCGTCAGTGTTATTAGGTGCCGGCTTTTCTTTAAAAATTATTTTGTAAAATGTCCTTGTTCTAGAAAACACTCATTTCTAGAAGTTTTCTGAATTTCTGCTTTAAGTTATCATATAATTGAATTGACTAATTGTGTGTTTAATTAAAGGTATATCACTTTTTAGTTAAAACATTCTTTGTATTGTTCTATACTTTTTAGATAATTAGAGAAAACAGTAGACCAACTTAAAATATTCTATTTCACTATCAAAAATGTATAATAATGAATCTTACATCAAACGGAAAAAGACATTTTAGGATGTCTTTCTAGGTATTAACTTAAAAACTAATTATCATGTATATTGCAACTGTGCTCAAATAAATAAATGTTTTTATACTTGACTATAGCAACAGAAAGACATTTTTTAGATCATAATGATCTGGATAACTCAAAATAGTCAAAATCCACATTATTTAAGTTGTTCTAGTATTGTTTTAGCCTAGCGATATAAACTCTAATAATGAACATTCATTGTTTTTTTTTGACGTTTTTTAGTAAATAAAAAATAGATGAATAATGTGATATTCTTGTTTAATTTGTTACTACATTATATAGTTTATTAGTGATTTAGAAGCAAATTACGTTCTATTTATAGAATAAAAAATCACTCATAATATCCAAATATTTATACCTATATCTCTATATTTCGGACACGAAGACTAACTAACTATTTTATGTTTTTTGCTCTAAATAGTTTTCTTATGAATTTTGTAACCTTTCTGCTTTAAGCATATATTTAAGGTTCATTTTGTTTAAATCTAAAATTAATTAGGTACATAATGTAAAAATTTAAACAATACATAAAATTAGTAGATTAAATTACAGTTTAAAAAAAAATTGTCAACAAAAACGTGGCTTTGTCTTTTTCCTTAAAAATTCTTTTATTATTTTAGTAGCAGATGAATATGGTCAGGAAATAGTGACAGGATTATTATACCTCTCTCGTCGAAATTTACTGAAATTGCATTTTTCTTTAATATTTTCCTCCTCTGAGGTCTGTAATAAAAATCTTCATTAGCATAAAAAGTTATTCAGATGGTCATTTGTTGAATTCCTAAATTTTGGAACCATTTATTTATTTTTATCATATCAAGAAAAGGAAACCTACAATAAAAAAATAATAATAAACGCTATTATACGCCGACCCTCGAACGGAGGATATAACTATTGAAATTTTATAGAAAGTTTCTAAGCACTTTGAAACACACTATACATTTTACATACATACAATTTTAGGTCCGCTGACACTAAAAAAAAAAAAAATTTACCTTAAGCCGGGTCCAGATCAATAAATATTTAGGTTGTGCGTATTATTTGACGCAAATTTGCTCGTGTTTGTCAAAATATTTCTAGATGTGGACTGTGCGCCGCACAAAGAACCACGCAAATATTTGCGCCAAATACAACACACGCTATTCACCGGTCTGTCGGTTTTTTTGCCAACTTAAAAGAGATTTGCGTCGAACGACCCTCGAGTGCTTGTTTTAATGTGGACTTAAATATTTTTTTAGTTTGTACTATTATTTCAATCACAAATTATTGCTACGGACGACGGACGAAAATGGATCGCAGTAGATACACCAACACAACGCACATATTTGCGCGATAAAATAACAATAAAAAAAATATTTCCGCCGCAAATATTTTTGTCGAATTCAACACACAACATTCAATACACACATTTATTGATCTGGACCCGGAAAATCCTTAAAAATTTTTGTCGGGTCTAGATCATAAAACAAATGTAAAATTGTTGTAGAAACGGCTAAATATCAATATTAGACCATTCATAGAGCAATAAACCATACCAAATTTTTTCATAAACGATCTAATTTTCTTATTTTTCATTTTTAGTTTGTTAGGAAAATAAATAAACAATTAATTATTTTCAATGACAATTGATGTTTCCAGTTTCTATAAATGCAATGTTGCGAAATGAAGTAAGAAAACGTATAGGGGAAGGCGGGGCAGAACGAAGCAGCGGAGTAGAACGGGTTATGCCATTAAAAAACCGAACGTGTAAACGGAAATATCCGAAATTGCACTGAAGTTTACTTAAAAGCATCGGTTACATACGCCAGTTGTCCCAAAAACGTCGAGTATATTTTTTTATTATTAGATGCTCACAATAAAGACAGGTTCGTTAAAAGTTGGTATCGAGGTTCACTGGCCCGATGCTAGTGAGGGTTGGTTAGGTTAGGTTAGGTTAAGTTAGGTTATTTCATGATGATTGGGCATTAATTACGGCATGTCGGTACTCATATTTGTAAAAAATACTTGTTTTTTTTTTCAATTTGAGCTGTGTCCAGGCCGTTGGAGTCTATGCCGGTCAGCGTAGCTAGGTATGGGTTAAAATTTTCTACAAGAAGTCGTGGCTTTGTCTTCTTATTGTATATCAATATTGACGTCGAAGAGTACTCTGCCGATGAGGGTGAGGAAGAAGATCTTGATGTGGGTATTTTTTAAATCGTTAGTTTTATATAATTTTTCTGATACCGAAGTCAACTGGTTGGCCTGGTACAACACAGAGCATAGGTAAAAATGACCATTGCTATGTAATAATTGATATGGCAACATTGTATTTGTTGGACACATGTCACAATGCCAATGTCAATTGTCATTGGGTTTATGAAAATTGGATCATTTTGACGAACTTTAACCTGGTCGTAAATTAAGAAAATAAACTGTTTACGAAAAAATTTTGAATGGTTTATTGCTTTATGTATGGTCTTGTATTATTATTTAGCAGTTTCTATAACAAGAAATTAATCAAAATGATGTAGTTCAAATTTTTTTAACATCGAAATTAGAGGACACATTATAAAGTTTTAAGGTAAGAAAAAAATATTTTAAAGCGTTTGCAGGGCAAAAAAGTATTTTAAAATGTGTTTCAGAGGGCAAAAATGGTCTTAAAAAAATAGCTCGTTCGACCGTTGGAGGATTTTTCCTAATAATTAATTAATTTTTACTATAATTAATATGAGACAGATGAAGACGAACTTAGCTGGTGTTTATTTCCTCTTAATTTTACTTTTTCAAAAATAAGGAAGTTTAATTGCAAATTAAAGTTGATTGCACCGCTTCTGATAATAAAGTTGTGTTTGTAATTACCTATGATATAATCTTAAAGAAGCATTTTTAACAGGTCTTTTACACATAAAGCATGTTTTCACCATATTAATACAGATAATAAATCTTAAATATACTGATATGAATCTCCCCCGGACTAGCTCTGAGCACCAGGAAATTCCTCCCTGAGGGTGTGCTTCAGCTAAAATAATCAAACAAATTAAATTTTATATACAAAAATCTTCACAAAAATCAAATTCTCCGATTGCAACGGCTTCTGTAATATTCTAAAAAAATAAAATCAATCCTCTTCACTCTACTCTAGATCTGCACTTCTCTGCTACGTCCCGCTACTGTCACATCTGACAGGTCTTTCTCAATATAATAATCTCAGTATGCAAATTAGTACTTATCTTTTATCTCTCAATGTCCAGGTACAATGTCTCCTGCTACTTCAATCTCGGAATCAATCTCTTTATAAATAATACTTATTTTTCAAAATTATCTTTTATTATTTCAAATTCTTCAATACACCTATTACTGGTAAATTGTGATTTTTATCGTAGCTCTTATTTAAATTTTCTCTAATAACAACTCTTTGAGTTAGACTGCGAAGGCGGTCGGTCAATCACGACCCTCACCCTTCGCCGGGGTATTTCTAACTGACTGTTTTCCAAAATCAATAAAAATCACCATTTTCCATAACAACGAACTTTGTTTCAAACTTTAACAACGCAATTAATGTAGCTTCACATACTCAGGGTGATATCTTTCCTGATGCCCGTATGTAGTCAAATCAGGAAACCATATCAAATCCTCCAAATTATTATATGTACAGGTACAAGTTCAACACCCTGTACATATAAAAATTTCCACGCAGGAATAGCATGACAAGGCCGACACTTGTCACATATCTGCCATGTTCAAAGCCCATTACAAACACACAATAATAACAATTACACTAACTTTGCCTCAAACAAATACACATCCTGTATATTAAAATACCACAATTTTCTCCCTACTTCTAAACCTTACTGTATAACTATTTTCCTCCTTAAACTGATAAGCATTCAAATTATTGGAATACGCAAATTAAATTGCCACATATGGCTAAAAATACCAAACATTTATTAAAATATCCACCTTAAACAGCATTTGGAATGATAATTCCATTATTGTTAGACTGGTCTAATGCTGCCTTATGAGTAATTACCTGTTGTATTTCCGAGCACTGTTCACAGCTCCTGGTCCCAAAATTTGTACCCTTGCTGCCTTAAATATAGCTACATGCCCCTTTTTAAATTTCACATGTTTCCAAATGCTCCTATTCCTCTTTTCTTTATCTAACCACAAACTACGTTTCGAAGAATCCCCCTTTTTGAATCTTACACGTTTTCTAATGCTCCTACTCCTCTTTTCCTTATCTAACCACACACTATATCTCAACGAATCCTCCTCTTTAAATCTTACACGTTTCCTGTTCCTCCTATAGATTTTCTTCTTTATGTTCATAAATCCACAATTCCACAAAATATCTAACACCAGATCATATTTGAACTTTTCTAACAATACCTGGCTTCTTATTTTTAAATTTCCCCCTACTTCAATATCTGTAACCCCATTATAATAACCCTTACTTCTTTCTTCCGCTATTTTATTATCAATGTTTACTGTTTCCTGATCCTTAACTAAATTGTCATTAACCTCTGTCCCCACAAATCTCCTAACCTCATCATCCTATACCTTCTCTATCTCATCTATTCTACCTATAACCTCTTCTCTAATAACTTCCTTATCTGTTTCTACTTTTACCAACTCTATCTCTTGTCCTAGCTCAACCTCAGTATTATCTAACCTACTACCCACCTTACGAACCTCTTCCACTGCCATATCCATATTTTTCTCCATCATTTCCCTATCTTCCTCTAACATTTTTATCATCCTAGCCCCATCTTCCTCTAACATTTTCATCATCCTAGCCCCATCTTCCTCTAACATTTTCCTATTTTCCTCCCTATATTTTTTCATCCTGGCCCGATCTTCCTCAACCATACTCAATATCCTAGCCAACATACTCATCATTTTTTCTTTCTCTGGTATCTCCTTAATTGTCCCTTTTTTCACCTCCATATCCTCTCCAGCACCTGTCTTTTTTCCGTCCCTGAGATCCATTACCCCGTATAAACTGAACTGTCAAAATGACGTGTTGTCACAATTTTCAAATTCTGAAGTTTTATTTAGATGACCCTCTTACACACACTTACACACACTTACACACACTTACACACACACCTATGGCAAATATATTTCAAGTGCAGGTCTTACCAATCCGTAATCCTTGTAATATGCTCAGTGTTGAATCTGCACTTGCACGTATCTTGGCGCAGCTTCACGTTGGACGAAACTTGAAATGAATCCCTGTTCCCAAGTTGGGCGCCACTTGATATGAATCTCCCCCGGACTAGCTCTGAGCACCAGGAAATTCCTCCCTGAGGGTGTGCTTCAGCTAAAATAATCAAACAAATTAAATTTTATATACAAAAATCTTCACAAAAATTAAATTCTCCGATTGCAACGGCTTCTGTGATATTCTAAAAAAAATAAAATCAATCCTCTTCACTCTACTCTAGATCTGCACGTCTCTGCTACGTCCCGCTACTGTCACATCTGACACGTCCTTCTCAATATAATAATCTCAGTATGCAAATTAGTACTTATCTTTTATCTCTCAATGTCCAGGTACAATGTCTCCTGCTTCTTCAATCTCGGAATCAATCTCTTTATAAATGATACTTATTTTTCAAAATTATCTTTTATTATTTCAAATTCTTCAATACACCTATTACTGGTAAATCGTAATTTTTATCATAGCTCTTATTTAAATTTTCTCTAATAACAACTCTTTGAGTTAGACTGCGAAGGCGGTCGGTCAATCACGACCCTCACCCTTCGCCGGGGTATTTCTAACTGACTGTTTTCCAAAATCAATAAAAATCACCATTTTCCATAACAACGAACTTTGTTTCAAACTTCACATACTCAGGGTGATATCTTTCCTGATGCCCGTATGTAGTCAAATCAGGAAACCATATCAATACATTTAAAACCCTTACACGGCTATAAATAATTATATTTTTCGTAAAATACAAATCAAAAATTGACATGTATCAGAACTCTCGCTGTCAAACTTGGCAACGCTGATTAAATATGCCAATTACAGAAGAGGTATTCCCCCCCTCAGGGGGAGTAGATGTTGCTAACAAAAGTTAGCGCGGGGAAGGGGGAAAGACTTATATGTTATTGATCTATACTGTCAATTTAGTTAAATAAAGCCTGATATTTTTGGGTTAAACATCAATTTCACTACATATATAAGAATAAAAACCGACGGAACCGCAAGACAAACATATTATGTTAAGATTGTGCACACCCTGTATACAAATTAATTGATCTGTAAGTTTGACAATATTAAAAAAGTAACTTGTCAAGTATAAATCTTTATTCTATTATAAAATATAATATATATAATAAACCACTGCACAAGAAATTCTACAGGTTATGAGCCCAGAAGCCTTATATTAAATTAAGGGAGCAGTTAAATTAGCTATTAAAAAAAAAATGAACATGATGCAAAATTTACCCCAATTGACAAGTGGAAATTTTTCGAACTGGAAATTCAGAGTGTTTGCCCTATTAGACGAAAAAGGAGTCAAAGAAAATTTGGAAATAGATATTCAAGAAGTGACAGAAGAAAAGAGAAAAGTCGAACTAACAAAACAGGACTCCAAAGCAAAATCGTTAATTATACAATGTCTATCAGACAAACATATTGAATACACCAAAAGTAGCAAAACTGCAAAAGAAATGATGGCATCATTAGAAAATGTTTTTCAAAGAAAAAGTACTTTCTCTAAACTTTACTTAAAAAGAAAACTGCTATCATTAAAATTCAATGCTTCAGATAATTTAGAAGATCATTTTATTATATTTGAAAAGTTAATAGGAGAAATAGAAGGAACAGGTTCAAAAATGGACGAAAATGACAAAGTATGTCACTTACTTTTAACTATGCCAGAGAGCTACGAATCAGTTATAACAGCATTAGAAATATTAATCACAAACTTGACCCTAGAATTCGTAAAATCAAGACTTTTAGAAGCAGAATTAAAATTCAAAAATCTTAAAGATGAAACTGGCATATCAACAAATGAAGTAACATTCAGTGCAAATTATCATCAACATTGGTGCAAAAGACAATATAATAATAATGAAGCTTGTAGATGCTATGATAACATAAACAGCGGTCCTTCTACTAGTAATTCATTTCAGAACCCAAAGTATAATCCTAGATCAACCAATCAAAGACGATTTTTCATAGGAAGAAACGCTAGAAAATTTAGTAGCAGAAGAGGGCGATTTGACAGAGAAAGAGGTTACAGAGGTTACGGATACAAAGCAAATTATACAGAAGAAGAAGAAGAAGAAGAAGAAGAAGAAGAAGAAGAAGAAGAAGAAGAACAAAAAGAAGAAAATGAAGATGATGAACTAAGTTTTATAGCTTTTAGTGCTAACACAACAACTGTAAATGAAAATTACATTACTTTTATTGTTGATTCAGGAGCCACTTACCACCTAGTACCTGAAGAGATGGAAGTACACATGTCAGATGTGAAATATTTAAATCAAGAAGTAAAAATTTACATAGCAAACGGTAAAAGTTTAACATCCATTAAAATGGGCAATCTCAAATTATTTAATAATAAAAGAAAAGTGAAAATCAACGCTTTAATAGTACCCGGCATAAGTCATAATCTTTTGTCAGTGGGAAAACTGCTAGAAGATGGCAAACAAGTAATTTTTAATAAAAACAGTGTAAAGATTATAACCAAAGAAGGAGTATGCATTGAAAACGAAAAGATGGGAAAATTGTTTGTAATACGTTTTAATATATGCAAAGATAATTGCTTGACAACTACTGAAGATCTGTGGCATAAAAGATTGGGCCATCTCAATAGAAACAGTTTAAAAAATATAAAGTTACCTTACAGTAAAAGCAAATGCGATCTATGTATGAAGGGAAAATCAACAAGATTGCCATATAAATCAGTAGAATACAAGAAATCAAGTAGAATGTTTGAACTCCTACATACTGATATATGCGGTCCAATAAAACCTAAAACAAATAATGGAGAAAGATATTTCCAAACAATCATTGACGATTTCTCCCATTTTACCACCACTTATCTGCTTGTAACAAAAAGCGAAGCAAAAGAAAATCTTATAAACTATATAAAAGAAATGAACGCTGAATTTGGAACAAAAACAAGTAAAATTAGATGTGACAATGGCGGAGAATTCTCATCAAACGATTTTAAAAATTTCTGTAGAAATAAAGGAATAAAATTAGAATATACAATCCCATACACGCCCCAACAAAACGGTACGGCCGAGAGAATGAATCGTAGCTTATTAGAAAAAGCCAGAACCATTATGCTTGAGTCGGAACTTCCAAAACACCTATGGGGCGAAGCAGTAAGATGTGCCACCTATCAACTAAATCGATGTCCTACAGCGGCTATAAATGGAGAGGTTCCAGCTAAAATAAGATATGGCCGAATAAATTATGACAAACTTAGGATATTTGGAAGCAAAGCATGGGTTCATAATGAACCAGTACATGGAAAATTCGGGGCCAGAGCTACAGAAATGAGAATGGTCGGATACAGCGGAGCAGGATACAGGTTGTGGAACTCGACAGAAGATAAAATCATCTGCGCAAGAGATGTAAGATTTGACGAAAATGAATTAAATTACAAGACATCTATAATAAGTGACAAAGAAGAAAGTACAATAAACAAATTCAGTATAGAGGGGACAATTGAAAAAGAAAATAAAGTATGTGAACAGGAAGAGAATCAATTTAGTGATGAAGGAGAAGAAGAAAATCATGCTGCAGAAGATATTGACTATACAACTTCAAAAAGAAAAAGAACTTTGCCTATTAGACTAAACGACTACGAGCTATACACAGCATACTGTCTTAATGCAAGTGAAGATCCAAAAACTTACAAAGAAGTTGAAAGTAACAAAGAATGGAAAATTGCTATAGAAAAAGAGCTTGATGCACACAAAAAGATAGGAACGTGGATACCAGCAAAGTTACCAAAAGGAAGAAAAGCAATAGATACAAAATGGGTGTTTAGAACTAAAGAAAACGGATTGAAGAAGGCTAGACTAGTAGTTAAGGGATTTCAGGAAGAAACTTTCGGAAACGTGTATGCTCCAGTAGCAAGAATGTCAACAGTTAGAATGATGATTTCACAGGCAGTACAAAAACATTGGAAAATTAAACAATTAGATATACCAACGGCTTTTTTGAATGGAACTTTAAAAACAGAAGTCTATATTAAACGTCCAGAGGGTTTACAAACAGAAGAAAATACTTTTAAATTAGTCAGAGCTTTATACGGTCTAAGAGAATCTCCTCGTTGCTGGAATGAAAGATTCGATCAATTTATTAAGCAGATTGAGTTTAGAAGATCTAATTACGATTTCTGTCTTTATACCAATAAAAGGGTATGGCTTCTTATTTATGTGGATGATATCCTATTAATAGGAGATAATGAGGACATAGAAGATGTAATAAAAAAGTTAATTGGAGAATTTAATGCAAAACTGTTAGGAGATATTAAAAACTACCTAGTAATGGAAATTAAAAGAGAAGGAAATGAGGTAAGCTTAAGTCAAAAGAGAATGATAGTAAAAGTTTTGAAAAAATTTAATATGTTTGAATGCAATGGAGCAAAAACACCTATGGAGACAAATTTACAGTTAGATGAAAGAGCAGAGATAGTGAACGTTCCCTATCGTGAACTAATAGGAAGTCTTCTATATATTTCAACTGTAAGTAGACCAGATGTAACTTACGCTGTCTCATACCTCAGTCAATTTCTGGATAAACCTAACAACCAACTATGGCAAGCATCCAAAAGAGTACTGCGATATTTAAAAGAAACTCAAGATCTTACACTAAAATATGTAGCTTGCGAGAAGAATTTAACTTTCTTGAAGGCATACTCTGATGCAGATTGGGGAAGTAATACAATTGATAGAAAGAGTATTACTGGTTCTATTGTCTTCTTTAACGGAAATGCAGTATCATGGTTTTCCCA